CACAGAGATGTGGTGCAGAATGTGCCGTGAAAATCCCACTCTAGCGGACAAAAACACTGCCTTTTATATGGACGCAAACGCAGGTTGCAACTTCTTATCTGGTGCTCGTCTTTTATTTTGACAGCGAATGTGCACCTGCGGACCACTTATGTGCAGCCCTGATTATACACAGGCTGGAGATGAACCAGGTGAGGGAGAGGTGATGAGCTGTATGCCTGGTGCTGTGTTTGGAGTCTGCTGGTTACAGTGTGCAGGACCTCACAGGCTGCTGCAGCGTTAGCAGAGGGCGGGGCATGCACAGCTATCATAATGACGTGTGTAAACTCTCGCTGTAGATAGTACGGTTTCACGCTAACCGTCCTGGCTTCATAACTATGTGCTACAAGCATACTCTGATGGGCAAAGTTAAGTGGCAAACCGTCATCCCTACTTAAATTTGTGCTGGAACTACTCTGTGACAGCAGAAATGTGCATAAACTAGTTATGGTAGGACATTTTGCCAAAGTAGGATGGTTTGTCAGAACACTGGAAGTTTATCACAGCACAGGTGATGGTTGTGATCATTACTAGTTAACGTTAAAGGGATGGTTGGCTCAACAGAACTCTGACTGTTTGTCAGCCTGGCTACAGAGCTGCAGAGAAATCTCAGGCTGTTCTTATTTACATCAATCAGTGATGAATAGTCAGATGTTCTGGCTTTATGGAAGATATTACAACATTGCATTTGTTTATGGCCAAGTTAACTGAACCTGTAGTTTAGTAATAATTCTGCTTAAATTGCTCCTCTTTCATCCCAATCTGTCTTTAGACTCATGCTATGATGTAAATAAGCAGAACTAATTTCACAGATGTTAAGCAGCAGATTCAGTGCATAAGCTCTACTGTCTCTCAGTAAATGTGTGTGAATAAGTATTTCATACTACACGTTTTTTACATTCTGTTTCATTTTCAGAATAAAGAGCGAGAGCGCATGAGGGAGCGAGAGAAAGCTGCAAGGGAGAGTGTGGTGCTCAAGCCCAATGGTCACCTTTTTACATCTCTGACAGTGTCAGGAACCACACTCTGCTCAGCATGCAACAAGAGCATCACTGCAAAGGAGGCTCTCTGCTGCCCTAGTAAGTAACACTCTAGTTATTCCACCACTGTCTCATCATTATGCTTTATATAGTGTAGTATGACGATAGTATGACAATAAAGCCAGAGACACAAACCTCAGAACAAAGTTCTCTCTATGTCTAAAAACACAGGATGTGCACTGAGTTATGCGTCACCTCTCTCTTGGTTTTTTAGTATTTGGTCCCTTTTTATTAACTGAATTAGACTTTAAAAGGAGGGAGACAGGAGGGGTATTTTAAGGCCATTACATTAATATTTAATTCTTAAATTAAACTAAAAAAAAAACTATTTATGGTCAAAGATGAAGAGACCTGGTTCCACTCTTATTTTCAGTCAGTCTTCACTTTAGTCACAGGAAACAGAGAAGCAACAGAGATAACCCGACAATCACATGTCCTTTTATGAGCAAGCACTTTGAAAGCAGCGGGGAGGAAAACTCCCTTTAAAACAGGAAGAAACGCCCAGCACACCCAAGCTCAGGGGGGGCGGCCGACCGCATCCTGACTACATCAGCAGTCACAGTAGTGCTGATGGGAGAATCTTTATTATGATTTGATGACTGAAGAAATAACGAGCAGTCAGTGAACAGCTTCAATCACCAAATTAAATAACCTGTCAAAATACAACAATAGGAGTTTTTGCTATTTGTTTTTATCACAGTGTGACGATGACAGCTCAGTCCACTCTCAAGTATCAGTGTTTGGATCAGAGCTACTGGCTGGCTGCAGGCTGTGTGCCCTCATGCACAGTATATGCCATAATAAACTATCGCTCACAGCTTATCATGTGTGAAAAATACTGTTGTTAAGTGAAGTATGTTTTAAACTGTGAGCCAAACAAGTTGTCATCAGTGCATACGACTTTCTGTCAGCTCTTTCTTACTTTCATTCCCGTCCATACGCGTACATTTACACAGCGTCACTGTTTTGCCCACTGAGGACTGATGTGTTTTACATCACAATTGTTGGTTTAACCAGTGGGTTCCTTTGCCCTCTTGCTGTTTTAAAAATGTAGGTAAAATAAGCACTGAATAGGTTCTGGATAAATGAAGAAGAGGAGCCTCCCAGGTTACGTTTGAAAACCGCTGGCTTGCAGGTTTTTGGCAGTGAAAATTGTGACTAAAGAGATTATTTTGGTTGTTGATGTGATTATAGTGAAAGATCTGTGTCTATGAATGTGTTGATTTAACTGCATGTTTTATGTTCCTCACTGTTTATTTTGCCTCTTGTGTCTTCATTTACTCCAGCATGCAGTGCCACTATCCACAACCGATGTCGAGATACTTTGCCAAACTGTGCCAAAATGAAACAGAGGGTAAGACACAGACATCACTACTAATCACAGTTTCTGCAAAGAGTCTCTGTGTATCAGTTTGAACACGTGGTCTTCATCCGTCTGGTCTGGGTGAGGCTGAGCTTGTTCAGATGCATGGTCATCTCATTTTCTTCTTGTTTCCTAAGCACTGGCAGTGTCCAGAGTGTCCTGTTGTATCCATCACTGAGTGGCTGTGTGTGTGAATGGGTCAGTGTGGCTGAGAGCTCTTGTGCAAAAGAGCTTCAAGCAGTGACTAAGATTAGCTAAATGCTGTTTAATTGACTGATCTCACAGACATGTCACAGATTTAGAGCTACAGTTACCAAGTAAAACAGTGATGTTATAGTCAAACCAACAGACGCTGCACTAGTGAATCCAAGCAATGGAAGAGTTTTGTACTCCTTTTGTATTTGAAGGTATCAGATCACTTTTTGGAGCGATGGTCTTTGGTTAATCAGAAATTATGAATCACAGCCTGTAACAGTTCATCAAGACTACGAATCGTTTTTGTACGTCCACTACAAACTGTGGACGTAGTGCTGCTGACGTTTACATGTAACACTGAAAGTCTGCACTTCAGTGTCTGTGCTGTCCAGATACTTACTGATCTAAACGTATTTCTATTCTGAATAGTTCCCAGTAGTTCCAGCTGTGTCTCCTGCTGTTTCCTGTTTGTGTCATAGTCTTTCTGTTCTTGTACTGTTAGTGTTTCTGTGGTTCCTGTAGTTCCAAGCGCAGAGTCATTTCCTAGCGTTACAGCGTTCCCTCATGAACAGCCTATTGGATTACAATGTCACCAGGGTTTTAATAGTTTTGCAGTTTTCATTAGTTTTTATTTTTATTTAGTTTTGACTTCAGATTTTCAATTTTGTATCAGGTTTTATTAGTTTTTACCTTTTGTTTGCTAGTTTAGTTTAGTTTTTCTTTTTTTTAAACCCTTAGTTTCAGTTATAGTTTTCGTCGTGTTTGCAACAATGAAGTGTAACAACATCCCAGTTTCATCATATCAGTCATGCTCTTCTGCTTATCCTTGGGTATGTTGCTCTTCCAGCTACCATACCCTGCACCCTGGACAGGTCGCCAGTCTGTCACAGGGCTAACACGCAGAGACAGACAACTCACATCCCCACCTATGGGAATAAATAAATAAATGAGGGCAGATGAACAACTATTGATAGCAGGCAACTATAAGATATATATCTTGGCCCCAATGAGACTATTAACTCTTGCAGCTCCGGGTGAATTGCTAAACTTTTTGAAGGCAATTGACTCACACAGTTGCGCAGATATCCCAGTCTCAATAAACATATTCACCAACGCTTCCTCTCGCTTGTGATGTTCCTGCAAACGGACCAACCAGCAGCCATCGGCTCGCTGTTGGAAGCACTGCATTAATGGTTTTTGTGGAGTTGTCTCGGGATGCTTCACGCTGCCCGGGGTTAGCTTCTGTTTCAGGGGATGAGGCTTGGGCGTGCTCCCTTACCTTCTCAAGCTAAGCTAGGTTAGCCTTCTTGTGTGAGCTTTTCAAAGGTTCCCTTTAGAAATGTTCCGCACAATTTGTCTCTTTCCACTACAAGACACTTGCTTTATCTAAAACGCAATCATGTTCAGAGTAATATGAAATTGGACTCTGGCGATTTCTCCCGACTTTTGCTGACGTGATTCTGCGTGGGACGGAGCAGCGACACAGACAACTCGACTAACGTACTGCCCCCTGCTGGCACAATGAGACACAAACATGAGACACAGCAAGAAAAAACCTGGAAACTACACTTCACTTTCACCCGACGCTATTGAAAACTAAACACATTTTCGCTATAAATCCAGTTAATTTTAGTTAGTTTTGTGAACGCTCATTACAGTTTTAGTTAGTTTTCCGTTTTTTGCAAAGTCTTGTTTTTATTTTTATTTCCGTTAACGAAAATGTTTTTTCACTTCTAGTTTTTGTTATTTCGTTAGTTTTCGTTAACAATAATAACCTTGAATGTCACTGTCAATAAAAGGTTGTTTTAGTTCCTTTTATTTATTCCTAACAGTTTGCTTTTGAGTTCTCAATCAACATTAAATATAATGAATGGTGAATTTATTCTGGTAGCTAAACTGACCTAAAAACTCTCTTTGTTTCATTTTTGTGCTCCTGTAATTGTAGTTTTTGTCCTTTCAGCAACAGAAGACGGCCCTGATGAAGAACAATGTTCCACTGCGTGCAAAAAGTAAGAACAATGGAACAAATCTAAGAAATGAACTGCATATTCTGCCTCACTCTCGTCCTGTCTTCTTTCCTTCCTCCCTCCTATCTATCTCTTTATCAGTATGTTCCTCCGTCATCATTAAAATCCTCTTTAGCTTGCTAACATGTTGGAATATTTTTCCCTTTCTTCAGCCAATTCTCTTTATAATACAACTATTTTCTCCTTTCAGCTCAAGGAATGCGAGAACGTCCAACTTCAGCTATTTACCCCTCTGAAAGCTTCCGACAATCTCTGCTCAGATCACGCCGTGGCCGCTCTCACCTATCCCTGTCCAAGAGTGTCTCCACCAACAACATCGTAGGGTGGGTCATAAACACAGAGCGAATATTAGTGTTGCTCTGTTGTTTGGTTAAAGCTACCTGAGGTCATCAGTGCACGCTGGTTTGCTGGATTAAGGACAGAAACCAGTCACATCCACTAGTTTGGATTTGCTTTGTCGAATGTTCAGCGAACACCAAGAATACATAAAAAGCAGGACAGGAAATGATCTTTTAAAAACACAGTATGTGACCTTAACCGTGGTCACTCACTGTCACATGGTGGGACAGGAAAGGTCATGAAGCTAATTCAAGATGATTTTGAGCTGCAACCATGAGTATTCATGCTTGCTTTCCCCCAACATGTCAATGTTTTTGATGAGTGAGGCACAGAACAGACTGTGGCTGACAGACAGATGATGATGAAGATTATCCATCTTCATGCTACAGTCACTGGCAATGATAAAGATGTATACAGGTTTTGTAAATGCTCACAGGGACGGTGTGATAATATCTCAGATTGCAAAATTTACTCTGCTCCACCTGATTTGAATTCAGCTCAGTTCAGTTTATTTATATGATACAAAATCACAACAGCAGCCGCCTCAAGGCACTTTATGTTGCAAGACCCCACAATACTGAGAAAACCCCAACAAGCACTTAGCGACAGTAGGAAGGAAAAACTGTGAAGGCCCGAGACCCAGACTAAGACATGCAAACTGGACACAGAGACCGGAGGGGGTTACAGGAGGCACACATGGCCCCCGTGAAGTCGTGCGAACAGTGCAGCCTTGTTGCTCTTTTTCTGTGACACATACACCCAAAAAGAGCAGAAAACCTTCAAAAAAGATAATCTATTACAAACCCTCCACTCCATGTTTGTTTGAAACCAAAGAGCTCATCCACTGTGTCTGGGATTGACACTGATTTGTTGAGTTTGTGCTGGCAATTTATACGGCTCCACACTAATATATATACACAAGGAAATTTTCAGTTAACCCACAAACTTAGTTGGAAACTGTCAGTTTCAGTATGTCTGTCAATCAAAACACCAACATTCCCAACTCCAAAATGTATGAGTTGGTGTGCAGCCAGTGAAATCTCTATGCATTAAACACCACTGTTCAAGGTGCCTCTTATTATTTTAACATTTGGCTCTGTTTGGTTCTCCAGTTTGTTTGCCGCTACATTTATTTCATGCACAATAGTTAGGCACCAATAATACCTGCATGCATGTGTGTGCTGCAGGTCGCTGAATGATGATGCTCCCCTGGGACTACGCAGAATTCTCTCCCAGTCAACAGACTCCCTCAGCTTCAGAAACAGAACGATGTCGATGGAGTCGCTCAATGATGACGGTATCGCAAACATGCAAGCAGCACAAAATCTTAGACAGCTCCATGTGTTCACAGTCAGTTAATTATACATGTATGTTATATACTCACAAGTCTGCAGGCCAAAGACTGGTCATTCTTCCAGCAACATCATAATGCACTGGACTGTAGTAGAAAACAAACCAGAACAGTTCATGAAGTCCATTTCCACCCAGAGAACTGATGCTGCTGATTAGATATGTGCATAAATGAGCAGTTGAACAGGTGTACCTGGAGAATGTAGGTATTTAAAAAAGAAATTCCTTGTGACTATTTTCCACATAGAAAGTAAGGGCTGAATGGGAGACTGCAAAGAGTACAAGTTCCAATAATCGGTCTGATAGTTTATGGATTAATAAGGTGGACAGAACGTTCTGTCCACGCCTGCACACCTTCTTATTGTAATATTGTGACAAATGAATGCATGTTTCCAGAATTTAAGCAAGCTTGTCAACATGAATGCATTTTTGGTGCTTAACTTTAATAGATAATTGCTTAACTACTAGTAGTTGGGGGTGGCTGCAGCTCAGGAGGTGGAGCAAGTGTCCACAGGTGGTTTAATGGGCCGAATATCCTTGGGCAGGATACTGACCCCAAGTTGCATCCATCAGAGTATGAATGTGCGTGAATGCTAGACAGGAAGCACCGTCATATAAAAAAATAAGTGCTTGTATGAATGGCTGAATGACCCTGGTTGTATAAAGCGCTTTGAGTGCTCGGGTAGAGTAGAAAAGTGCCATATGAGAACCAGTCCATTAACCTTTGGTGCATGCTCTGATTGGTAATAAGATCCTCATAAACATTCTTCCTGAATGTAGTGAAATACAACTGTACAGCAGTAGAAGTGAAACGTGACACATTTCATGAAGAGGTCGTTGAATCTTCAAACCTTCAGGAGAAAGCTCAAGTCGTCTGTTCAAACTTTTGTCTTCAGTCTACAATAATCTCTCATATAATAATAGTAAAATAAACAATAATCTGTGAGTCTGCAGTCTTTCATACTGATCTTCTTTTCCTCTTTAGGAGAACTGTACTACGCCTCAGTCCTGGAGGAGATCGAGCTTGAGGGCCAGGACTTTAAGGCTGACTCGTGGAGCATGGCTGTGGATAGCAGTTACTTACAGACACATCGCAAAAATGTTATCAAGAGGCAGGATGTCATCTATGGTGACAAAAACATATCTATTTTTCATCATTTCTGCCTCATATGCAGACGTTCAGTCTATTGCTAAACGTTATACATGTGTTTGCATATGGACACACATAGAAAACAAATCAGTATGTCACCGTTTAGAAATATGCAATGGTTGTCATGCATCTCATCTCACCTTTGTTATACCCTTGTGTGTCTCTTAGAGCTGATCCATACAGAGCTGCACCACATGCAGACACTGCAGATCATGGAGAGGGTGTTTCGACAGGGCATGCTGGAGGAGCTTCAGTTAGAGCCCAGCACCGTGCATGCTATGTTTCCCTGCCTGGACCAGCTCATCAAGATACATTCCCAGTTTCTGGCACAACTTCTCCTACGGCGCAAGAACAGCCTGCAGCCTGGATCCAACCACAATTACACCATTCATCAGCTGGGGGATATTCTAGTAGAGCAGGTTTGTGATTCTGCTGACTTCCCCTTACTGACTCATATCCACAGTAACGTGACTTGTTTGTGTTCTTCTGCCAGTTCTCAGGCCAGTCTGCAGATGACATGCAGAAGACTTATGCTGAGTTCTGTAGCCGACACTTAAAGGCTGTCAAATTATACAAGGAGCTGCTCGCTAAAGACAAGAAGTTCCAGTTCTTCATACGGGTAGGAGACACATGCATGGACATATGTATATGTTAACGACCGTACCGACCTACCAAGACTTGTTCCAATTATACTTCCTAATTATTATTTCACCTTCCTCCGTCTCTTCCTCATATTGTTGTTGGGACTGCTGGCCTTCCTGCTGCACTCCTCCACAGCTGTTTCCAGCATCAGCAGCCTCGTGTGACTGCGAGGGCTTGTTACCAGTTGTTGTTGGTGCTGCTGTTGACGACGCAGCAGCATAATAAATATGAACAATAAAGCAACAATAAGCATAAGTAAATAACTGGCTTACTTGGCACCTACAATGTTTCATACTAAAGGCATTTTAATTTTACTAAGCATAGACTAAAGATGTTGATCATGTCGGAGGAGAGCTAAAGGGTTTGAATGAGCATGTCTGAAAGACATAAGGAACCAGATGTCGCTGCTATAATTGGTTAAAAAAGGGCAAAAATGCTGTTTCAGAACAAGAGGACACGTTCAAGAAAAAGAAAACGCAGCTTCAATTGAAGAGTGGAGGAAATGCTTCATCGGTGCCTAAGATAAATTCACTGCCCCCTAAAATTAAAAGAACACTTGGAAAACACATCAGATCTTAATGGGGAAAACATTCATGCTGGATACTGATACTGGTACAGATGGTAATGAGTTAGGAATGAAAGGATGCCTCATTATTTGATGGAATGAAATGAAATTATGAACCTACAGACGGCTGAATTTAAAGAATGGCGCAGCAGGCTCTCCCATTTTACTAACGGTACTCAGGAGTTTGTATGACTAACAATGTTGGGACATGCTCCTAATGAGACTGCAGATGGTGACCTGGGGGATCTACTTTTACATCTGCCTGCACATTTGCGCCAGATAAAGCGCACCAGGAGCAGCCCAGTTACCCACTGCACCAGTGCAGGGTACAGTGGGGCAGAGGAATTCCCACTGATACTTAACGACGGTCAGGATGGCGTTGCTCAGCCTGTAGAGACCCGTGTGCGAATTCTTTCCCCCCCATTGATATCTGATGTTTTTTCCAAGTGTTCTGTTCATTTTATCAGGCAGTGCATTTATCTTAGGTACTGATGAAGCACAGACATGCCACCCCGACCATCACTGGCCCACCACTAAACTTGTCCGGGCAGCAGAGTGTTCCCCACGACTTCTCCGGGTCCTCTTACGTATGTCACGTGTGTTCAGTGCGAACCTGCACTTACGTGTGGACAGCACAGGATACCAGGGTGGACCTGCCAATTCTGCTATTCTGTGACAAATGCCAATCATGCACTCACACATACAGAGTTGATACAGTGTTGATACAGTGTTGATACAGAGTTGATACAGAGTTGATACAGTGTTGATACAGTTTTGATAGTATCAACACTGTATCAACTCTGTATCAACACTGTATCAACTTGATACAGTGTTGATACAGTGTTGATACAG